TATCGTATTTCTCTATGTTAATTCTTCAATCAGAATTTATGAAAGAAGCGCGATAATTTATTGGAATAACCAGTATTTCTTCATTGGGGTTTTTGTTCTCGAGCGTGTTTTGTGCTAACATTCAAGTGAAACTAACAGCTCGACAGTCCTGTGTGTCGTAAACTACATTTCTATTGTGAACTTCAGGATTTTTACTGGTTTCTTAAAATAAAATAATGTCCATTTTTTATGACGATTGGATGTCCCAATTATTTGTTTTGACAGATTTAAAAATAAAATAATAGTTGAAAATAATGTAAATTAATTAGATAATCAAAATAATTTTTGAAGATGAATAAAGTGGATTTTGTTCCACATTTATGCATTAACCTTAGAAACGTGTAAATATGAATTTTATTATGGATGAATGAATGAGATAAGATGAGAGAGTGAGAGAGAGAGGGGGGGGAGAGATCAGCCATTACAGAATGATGAAATCTGTTTACAATATTAGAAATAATTACACTTAAAAAAAACAACCTGGAAGGTAATGAAATTTATAAGGAAGAAAAATCTCGAAAACAATTTTTAATTTAATTTGTTATGATGTAAAATATTCCAAATTCTAATTAAATTTTTATCTGTATCTAGTTTCGACATATTATATATAGGAAATATTTTAAGCTGTTAATATAATACAAATAGGTTCCACTCACGCTCGAAGATAAGTAGAATTAAATGTGAACAAGTCTCTAAATAATGGGCCCAAATGAGGAATTTTTTATTTTAAATTTTTCGTCTTTTATGCGTAAAAATTAAGAATAGAAATATTTATAAAAATATTTCCAAGTATATACAAAGTTCTAAAAAAAGAATAGTATTACATAAAAATAGAATGTCTCAAGTTTTAACAATTAAAATATGCCAATATGTTTTATGAATCGAATTAAGAAAAAAAATGTTGAAATGAATATGTATTTACAGAAGCTTTATTTAAAAGTTACATACAAATTTTTTTATCCACAAAATTAATACAAATTGGCCATTAAAATCAGAACATATATAAACATCTGGAATATATATCTGGGACCTATGTAAATTCAATTTATAGATCTGCATGTGCTTGATGTGGATCTACAAATTTATCAATTTATAATTTGTAAATCTATCGATTCATAAGTGTGTAGATGAATGGAACCTTGTTACCCATTCTTGTTTCGCTGCTTTATAAATTAGAGTTAGACGTGTATAATATTTAAAACCACAATCGGTATAACATACTATTTAGATATATCCAATAAGAATCCTCACAAATTCACGTAGATCCATAAAAGTCCAGAAAATCCATATATATACCTTGCTTTTACATGTTTCGTACAAAGCAGGCTAATTTATGTTAATAATCGAAATTTCGTGTTGAATGCGACTTATTCTTAGGTTGCCTCGTTCGGGCCTATTATATTATTTTTTACGTGCAGGATGTTTCTCATAAAACTGCTGTTTTTTTTTCTTTCATAAACATAAATTTTGAACTACTAGAAAAAGTGGAACAAAATTATTAATCAACAAGTGACAAAATTATTAATGTATTGAAATATAAGAAAAAATGAAATATTGCGTGAGAATGATAAGAGGATCTTAATAATACTTATTGAATTCATACATCTACGTTCAAAGGAATTTTTCTTTTTTTTTTTTTTTTTTTT